ATGCGATAACAAAGATTAAAAGGCTATCTAAAGCTGTTTAATGATGCTAATATTGCATCAGGCTGTATAAAATTTTAAAGTCAGATGAAAGGAGACGCCCTACCCGGGTTAATAAAAGTTGACTGTCGCAAAAGAAGTGACTCTGTAAAATTCTGTAAAATTGACAATTGTTTGTTTCTAAATGATGATATCATCATTTCGAAACAATCTAAAAATAAATTGTATTATATGAATCATTAACCTTCGTCCGGCCACATGTTGTCTTGCAAACTACATAACGCATCTTTTTCCCAATTTATGCTTCTCAACGTATCCTCCAGTTTGCTGCAGAGGAAATGTTTAAAACATTTTTTGTTACTGACTGGAGACTTCAACATTCATGTTAAAAAATTGGAGGAGGTGAGCACTATTAAATCGTTCCAAGTTTCCAATCATGTCAATGGACCTACACATATATCTTGCGGAACACATGATCTTGTTTCATCCTTTGTTGATTTGCCGTCTAATGATTGCACAATTTTACCAAGGAATGTTTATTCCAATCACATATTTTCATTAGAGTTTTATTTTCCTTTGTTTATAAAAAGCCAACAGTTGTAAAACGATTAGTACAAGCATGGAATTGAATTAATAGCAATCTTTTTGTTAATCTTGTTTTGCAATCATCTATTGATAGCACGTTTACTGGCAGCGATCCTGATGTAATTTACGATCCATTTGTAAATGACATTCAATCAATTGTTGTTAGAATTGCTCCTTTGCAATGTCGTTAACAATAATTCTCACTATGATCCTTGGTTTGATGCGTATTGCAGAAGAGTAAAAAAATTGTAAAAAATTTATCGACACAACCCCAGCAAAACCAATAAAATGGCCTGGATAAATGCTCTGCAACATAAATTTTCTTTTTTTGTCAGTAAAAAGACTTCACCATGAAACAAATCTTTTTTCAGGAAGTTAATGGCTACAATTGATAAATTGTTTGAAAATCATTCCGTCACAGGATGTGTTGAATCAAATAATAAACTTAGTTCATTTCATTGTTATTTAATGAAAAAATTAAAAATTTAAAAAATATGCTAATCCTAGCCCAGCCTTTATTTCTTGCAATTTGAACGCCGAAAGTTTGTTTTGTTCGTTCGATCCTTGTTTTGGTGAAGAAATCAAAAATTTGATTTTCAGTTCACCCTCTAGGTCGTTTAAAAATAATGTTATTCCAAAGCATATACTTAGCAATATATTGATCTTTTATTTCCAATTTTGACATTTTTCATCAAATTGTGTTTGCGCCTTAGATATTTCCCTAAAGTTTTCAAACATGCTGTTGTTACTCCTTTGTTGAAAAAGCCGTCTCTTTTGGATGGCATCAATAACTATCGACCGATCTCAAATTTCTTGTTTTTATCATTAGTTGTCGAGCGCATTTTTTCCATGCAGTTCATAAAGCATTTGAATAGCCATAGTATGATTCCAAATTACCAGTCTGATTACAGACGGTTCCATTCTACGGAGACTGCTCTGTTGGATAAATCATCTTTCTAAACTGTTTGGGCCGATGAATATAGAGTATTTTTTTGGCTTTGTTGGATATGAGCACAGCTTTCAACTGCGTTGATCAGTCCTTACTAATTCATAATCTCAAATATTGTCTTGGTGTCTTTGGGACGTTAGCCTCGGAGTTCGAATCTTATTTAATTGGTAGGACGCAGCCAGTGTTTTTTAACAATGTTTTGTCAAATTTCGAAGTTGTCGCGTCAGGAGTTTCTTAGGGATCGATTCTAGGACCACTTCTGTTTTTGCTATACATAGCCGATGCTCTTTCAATCATTGAGAAATTAAACTATAAATATCGTGCGTTTGCTGATGATTTGCAGATAATTTGTTCAAGTACTTCGGTTCTCACTTTCGAGGAGCTAGTTGATACATTTGTTTCTTGTTTTTCTCAATGGCTGGATGGTCAAGAATAGAATAAAGCTGAATGAAAGCATGACGTGTGGCCGCATTTACAAAAAATTCATATTAATTCAACTAATATTTTTGGTACTGTTATCAATTTATATACATCTGTTAAAAATATGGGTACCATATTTGGTCAAACTATGACAATGGACCAGCATATAAGGGCACTTACTATAAAATATTGTTTTCAGCTGTGAAGACTTAGAAAAATAAAAAATCTCTCGACAACAAAACACTGAAATGCTTGGTTCACTTATTTGTCAATTGAAAATTGGATTACTGAAACAGTGTTTTTTATGGAGTGTCCAATAGACTGATTGATCGTTTGCAGCCTATTCAAAATATAGCGGCAAAAATCATTTCTGAAAGATTGAAGTTCGACCATGTATTTGATTTTCATTGGCTAACAATCAGAAAAAGAATATTGTTCAAGTTTGCCATTCTCTCATGTTTATATGCCAAAACGGCCTAGGCCCATACTATCTGTCTATAAATCTGTCATATAAAACAACAATAGCTCACGTTCAGACGAAAATTTTTTTCTGTCGTTGCCGGAGACACGGCTGGTGGTGGCCACTCGTGTTTTTGCAGTCACAGATTTAACAGTTTGCCGGACAATATACGTCAACCAGGATTGACTGTTCAACAATTTCGCAAGGAGCAAGAAACTGAAAACGTTTTTTTCATGCATCAGTTCCACTAAGCTCAAGAAGCGCCTCTGGGTAATATTAAAAAGTGCTATATGAATTTTTTAATAATAGAAATAATAACAACATAACATAGCCTACAGATTTATTAGCTCAGGTGATAAAACTCATAAGCCCATATCAAAATGTTCCATTCAATAAAAATATCAAAAACACATCTTCTAAAAAAAATAAATAAGTGAATAAAATTGAAATAAAATATAAAATAATACTGTTAATGATAGTTCACTTTCCAATCATACTTAATTTAAGTCACATATACAGGTACACACACAAACACACACATCCAAACACATGCATGCATACAAAAATTTATACCTAAGTTAAAACAACAATAATTTAAAACAGTTATCGTCATATCAACATGGATAATCCACTTTTCAATCCTATTTAGTTTGAAATATAACTATATCTTTCAAAAAGAATTTTAAATTTCTTGACACATCCTGCACTGTCCACTTTGTGGGGTAACGAGTTCAAGACTGGTATTATTCTATTTACAAACGAATATTTTTGCACATTCGTATTGGAAATTTTTTTATGACCTCTGCTTCTTGTATCAACATTCAGGTTCAAAACATTCATCCGCGAGTCATATTCATTTTATAATGCTCAACATGTCTGATACCTAAGTTGGGGCATCGGAGTTTTGTCCGTATTTTTTCACTATTTTATATATATATATATATATATATATATATATATATATATTACA